CTCATGCTGTTACCCAGGCTGGAGTATGGTGGTGTTGTAGCTCACAGCAACTTCAAACTGCTGGGTTCAATGACTCCTCCTACCTCAGCCTCCTGAGTAGCTGGAACTAGAGGCACCTGCCTCAATGTCCAGCTAATTTTTCTATTTTCTAGAGATGGGGTCTCACTCTTGCTCAGGCTAGTCTTGAATTTTTTTTTCTTTGAGACAGAGTCTCATTTCATCACCCTGGGTAGAGTGCCATGGCATCACAGCTCACAGCAACCTCCAATTCTTGGGGTTAGGTGATCTCTTGCCTCAGCCTCCCAAGTAGCTGGGACCACAAACACCCAGCTATTTCCTTTGTTGCAGTTTGGCCAGGGCTGGGTTCGAACTTGCCACCCTCAGTATATGGGGCCAGCACCCTACCCACTGAGCCACGGGCGCCTGCCCCAGATGCAACTTTTTGAGCCTAGACAACTCAGTTCCTTTCTGGGAGAAACCTTAACATCAAAGCTTACTTGGCCCAGAGGTGGGTTTTCCCTGACTCAAGGAGGAAGGTAGCCACTCAGGCATACAAAGATACTTAGAAGCCCACAGCCTCTAGTTTGGGTAAATCCATGCTAAAGAACTAGAGCAATGTTGAACTGAATGGCTCTTTAGTTACTTTAGGGTGGAAGGCTCAACAGGTGCTTGAACAACAAGAAAAGATTAGGAAATAAAAGTACAAAGTTTGAGGCCAGGCACAGTGGCCAAAGTTTGAGGCCAGCCACATTGCATGTGGCTCACACATGTAATTTTAGCACTCCGGGAGGCAGGTGGATTACTTGAGCTCAGGCATTCCAGACCAGCCTAAGCAAGAGAACCCATCTCGACTAAAATTAGAAAATCGAGCAAGGTGTTGTGGCTGGTGCCCATAGTCCCAGCTACTAGAGAGACTAAGGCAGGAGGATCACTTGAGCTCAAGAGTTTGAGGTTGCTATGAGCTATGATGCCACAGCCAGCAATCTACTGAAAGTAACAAAGTGAAACTCTGTCTCAAAAAAAAAAAAAAAGTATAAAGTTTACCTTACCTTCTTAGAAGGAGAGAGGTCATAAGAGAGTGCAAGAGAGTAGGGAAAGAGTGGGAGAGAAGAGAGCAAGAAGACAGCATGCCATTCCAAAAAAGGAAGGAAGAAGGGCCACAGTTAGGCCAAGAGACCCACAGTTAATAGGGTGTTGTCAGTTGGCAGGGTACACATGGGAAAGTGCTGGGTCTACTCTTTTCTTTCTTCTTAGCAGCAGGTAGATAAGAAAAAGCGGTCAGCATGCTTGCTTCCAGAGCACATATACTAAAATTGGAACGACATAGAGAAGATTTAGCATGGCCCCTGCTCAAGGATGACAGGCAAATTCGTGAAGCGTTCCATAAAAAAAAAAAAAGAAGAAGAAGAAGAAAGAAAGAAAAGAAAAGGGAAAGAAAAAGCAGTTAGGGCAGCGCCTGTGGCTCAGTGAGTAGGGAGAGAGCGCCAGCCCCATATAAGAAGGGTGGTGGGTTCAAACCCGGCCTGCCCAAATTGCAACAAAAAATAACCCGGAATTGTGGCGGGTGCTTGTAGTCCCAGCTACTCCAGAGGCTGAGGCAAGAGAATCACCTAAGCCCAGGAGTTGGAGGTTGCTGTGAGCTGTGATGCCACAGCACTCTACCGAGGGTGACATAATAAGACTTTGTCTCTTAAAAAAAAAAATCTCTGTTTTAGCCTCGGAGCCTTTTGCTCAGTGGTTAGGGCGCCAGCCACATACACTGAGGCAGGCAGGTTTGAACCCAGACCGTGCCTGTAGTCCCAACTCCTTGGGAGGCTGAGGCAAGAGAATCACGTGAGCTCAAGAGTTTGAGGTTGCTGTGAGCTGTGATGCCACTGCACTCTACTGAGGGCAACATAGTAAGACTCTGTCTCAAAAAAAAGAAAGATCTCTGTTTCAACATTAATGCTGATCAACTGTGTCTGAACTCCAAAAGAGAGAGGATATAATGAGGTGTGTTTGATCTCTCTTTGCTTCATGGCTGAGAACTCAGTTTTAAGGGGTATGTGTGTTTTTGTAGAGACAGAGTCTCACTTTATTGCCCTTGGTAGAGTGCGGTGGTGTCACAGCTCACAGCAACCTCCAACTTCTGGGCTTAGGCAATTCTCTTGCCTCAGCCTCCTGAATAGCTGGGACTACAGGCGCCCGCTACAATGCTCAGCTATTTTTTTATTGCAGTTTGCCTGGGGCTGGGTTTGAACCCGCCACCTTCAGTGTATGGGGGCTGGTGCCCTACTCACTGAGCCACAAATGCTGCCCTTGTTTTTTTTTTTTTAGACAGAGTCTCACTAAGTTGCCCTCAGTAGGGTGCCAGGGCGTCACAGGTCACAGCAACCATAAACTCTTGGGCTTAAGTGATTCTCTTGTCTCAGCCTACCAAGTAGCTAGGAGTACAGGCGCCCGCCATGTTGCAGTTGTCATTGTTGTTTAGCTGGCCCGAGCTGGGTTCAAACTTGCCAGCCTCGGTGTATGTGGCTGGTACCGTAACCACTGTGTAATGTGCACCGAGCCAGTTTTAAGGTTTTTCAGTGGCCCTCTTAGTCAAGAGGGCATTTGTTCAGTCAGCAGGGTGGCTCAGTGTTTTATTTGTAGTTTACATGCCCAGCAAATGTCACTGTGTTGTGCATGACTGTATTGTGAATATTTTGTCTGCTTTATCATTATTACTATTTTTTGATAGTATAGTGCTGTGGCACCATAGCTCACAGAAACCTCAAACTCATGGGATCAAGCGATCCTCTTGCCTCAGTCTCCTGAGTAGCTGGGACTGTAGGCACGGCTATTTTTAGAGACAGGATCTCACACTAGCTCAGGCTGGTCTGGAACCTGTGAGCTCAGGCGATCCACCACCACCTCTCCACCTCCCAGAATGCTGGGATTACAGGCGTGAGCTATGGCCCATGGCCTTATTTTCTCTGCTTTATTGCTTGTCTTTGCACTCTTTAAACAGTGCCTTTTAATG